TGTGACTCTATGACGTCTGCTTGTTGTGACTCTATGACGTCTGCTTGTTGTGACTCTATGACGTCTGCTTTTTGTGACTCTATGATGTCTGCTTGTTATGACTCTATGATGTCTGCTTGTTGTGACTCTATGATGTCTACTTGTTGTGACTCTATGACGTCTGCTTGTTGTGACTATGACCTCTGCTTGTTATGACTCTATGATGTCTGCTTGTTGTGACTCTATGATGTCTACTTGTTGTGACTCTATGACGTCTGCTTGTTGTGACTCTATGACCTCTGCTTGTTGTGACTCTATGACGTCTGCTTGTTGTGACTCTATGACCTCTGCTTGTTATGACTCCATGATGTCTGCTTGTTGTGACTCTATGACGTCTGCTTGTTGTGACTCTATGACGTCTGCTTGTTGTGACTATGATGTCTGTTGTGACTCTATGACGTCTGCTTGCTGTGACTCTATGATGTCTGCTTGTTTTGACTATGATGTCTGTTGTGACTTTATGATGTCTACTTGCTGTGACTCTATGACGTCTGCTTGTTGTGACTCTATGATGTCTGCTTGTTGTGACTCTATGATGTCTGTTGTGACTCTATGATGTCTACTTGTTGTGACTCTATGACGTCTGCTTGTTGTGACTCTATGACGTCTGCTTGTTGTGACTCTATGACGTCTGCTTGTTGTGACTCTATGACGTCTGCTTTTTGTGACTATGATGTCTGCTTGTTATGACTCTATGATGTCTGCTTGTTGTGACTCTATGATGTCTACTTGTTGTGACTCTATGACGTCTGCTTGTTGTGACTCTATGACCTCTGCTTGTTATGACTCTATGATGTCTGCTTGTTGTGACTCTATGATGTCTGTTGTGACTCTATGATGTCTACTTGTTGTGACTCTATGATGTCTGCTTGTTGTGACTCTATGACGTCTACTTGCTGTGACTCTATGACGTCTGCTTGTTGTGACTCTATGACGTCTGCTTGTTGTGACTCTATGATGTCTGCTTGTTGTGACTCTATGACGTCTGCTTGTTGTGACTCTATGATGTCTGCTTGTTGTGACTCTATGATGTCTGTTGTGACTCTATGACGTCTACTTGTTGTGACTCTATGACGTCTGCTTGTTGTGACTATGATGTCTGCTTGTTGTGACTCTATGATGTCTGCTTGTTGTGACTCTATGACGTCTGCTTGTTGTGACTCTATGACGCCTGCTTGTTGTGACACTATGATGTCTGTTGTGACTCTATGATGTCTGTTGTGACTCTATGATGTCTACTTGTTGTGACTCTATGACGTCTGCTTGTTGTGACTATGATGTCTGCTTGTTGTGACTCTATGATGTCTGCTTGTTGTGACTCTATGACGTCTGCTTGTTGTGACTCTATGACGTCTGCTTGTTGTGACTCTATAATGTCTGTTGTGACTCTATGATGTCTGTTGTGACTCTATGATGTCTGGTGTGACTCTATGATGTCTGCTTGTTGTGACTCTATGACGTCTGCTTGTTGTGACTCTATGATGTCTGCTTGTTGTGACTCTATGACGTCTGCTTGTTGTGACTCTATGATGTCTGCTTGTTGTGACTCTATGATGTCTGTTGTGACTCTATGTGATGTCTACTTGTTGTGACTCTATGACGTCTGCTTGTTGTGACTCTATGACGTCTGCTTGTTGTGACTCTATGACGTCTGCTTGTTGTGACTCTATGACGTCTGCTTGTTGTGACTCTATGACGTCTGCTTTTTGTGACTCTATGATGTCTGCTTGTTATGACTCTATGATGTCTGCTTGTTGTGACTCTATGATGTCTACTTGTTGTGACTCTATGACGTCTGCTTGTTGTGACTCTATGACCTCTGCTTGTTATGACTCTATGATGTCTGCTTGTTGTGACTCTATGATGTCTACTTGTTGTGACTCTATGACGTCTGCTTGTTGTGACTCTATGACCTCTGCTTGTTGTGACTCTATGACGTCTGCTTGTTGTGACTCTATGACCTCTGCTTGTTATGACTCTATGATGTCTGCTTGTTGTGACTCTATGACGTCTGCTTGTTGTGACTCTATGACGTCTGCTTGTTGTGACTATGATGTCTGTTGTGACTCTATGACGTCTGCTTGCTGTGACTCTATGATGTCTGCTTGTTTTGACTCTATGATGTCTGTTGTGACTCTATGATGTCTACTTGTTGTGACTCTATGACGTCTACTTGCTGTGACTCTATGACGTCTGCTTGTTGTGACTCTATGATGTCTGCTTGTTGTGACTCTATGATGTTTGTTGTGACTCTATGATGTCTACTTGTTGTGACTCTATGACGTCTGCTTGTTGTGACTCTATGACGTCTGCTTGTTGTGACTCTATGACGTCTGCTTGTTGTGACTCTATGACGTCTGCTTTTTGTGACTCTATGATGTCTGCTTGTTATGACTCTATGATGTCTGCTTGTTGTGACTCTATGATGTCTACTTGTTGTGACTCTATGACGTCTGCTTGTTGTGACTCTATGACCTCTGCTTGTTATGACTCTATGATGTCTGCTTGTTGTGACTCTATGATGTCTACTTGTTGTGACTCTATGACGTCTGCTTGTTGTGACTCTATGACCTCTGCTTGTTGTGACTCTATGACGTCTGCTTGTTGTGACTCTATGACCTCTGCTTGTTATGACTCTATGATGTCTGCTTGTTGTGACTCTATGACGTCTGCTTGTTGTGACTCTATGACGTCTGCTTGTTGTGACTATGATGTCTGTTGTGACTCTATGACGTCTGCTTGCTGTGACTCTATGATGTCTGCTTGTTTTGACTCTATGATGTCTGTTGTGACTTTATGATGTCTACTTGCTGTGACTCTATGACGTCTGCTTGTTGTGACTCTATGATGTCTGCTTGTTGTGACTCTATGATGTCTGTTGTGACTCTATGATGTCTGTTGTAACTCTATGATGTCTGCTTGTTGTGACTCTATGACGTCTGCTTGTTGTGACTATGACGTCTGCTTGTTGTGACTCTATGACGTCTGCTTGTTGTGACTCTATGATGTCTGCTTGCTGTGACTCTATGATGTCTGCTTGCTGTGACTCTATGATGTCTGCTTGTTGTGACTCTATGATGTCTGCTTGCTGTGACTCTATGACGTCTGCTTGTTGTGACTCTATGACGTCTGCTTGCTGTGACTCTATGATGTCTGCTTGCTGTGACTCTATGATGTCTGCTTGTTGTGACTCTATGTCTGAGGAAATGGGCGGAGTCTGGTGTGCTCCTGCTTGGTTGGAATGAAAACCTGCAGCCAAAGTAAACATGTTAAAGCTGAATTATTCTTCTGTTAATAAAAGTCACGGATGCCTCCTGGACATCTCATCTGGCTCCTCTGGTCGTAGAGAAGCAGCGGCTCTAGTCCGAGCTCCTCTCATATGACCGAGCCCCCCCCCATCCCATAATTTTGGCGACTTCGATCATATATGTTTAATCAATAAGACCCTGAACACAACAAGTTTTACCCTGATAATGATGTGTGGTTGCCATGGTAATTCTGTTTTAGTATTGTGTGTGTGTGTGTGTGGGTGTGTGTTTGTGAGTGTGTGTGTGTGTGTTTGTGTTTTTTTCACCAATCAATATGTTTTTAAGTGTATTATATAGATTCCGGTCTGTTTTCTTGTGGACAGACGGGGAACAATTTTTTTTTATTTTTTTTATTTTTACTCTTTTGGGTTATTTATGATTTTAACGTTTTTAATAACTTGTGTGATTTTGTTTTTTAACGCCCTTTGGGATTTTAATTGTATTTTTAATGTTTCTGATTTTTGCCTGATGTGATATGGGTTTAGGAAAGGAGCTCTATTTTAATAAAAGTTGTATACATTACACACTCTGAGTTTCTAGAAGCTCCAGTTCGTTACGTTTGGTCTTTCTGAAAAGATTTATGTAGTTTTTGGAAGGTTTTGTGTAAATGCAGGAGAAGAAAAAAACCAAAGTAATAATTCTAAATATTCTAACTTAAGACTTTTTCCATTTGCTTTCATTCATTTGTGTTTCTGAGCTTCCCACACTCGTCGGTTTCTCCTCTGGACTCAGGGACAGTGGACGTTCAGACGCAGCGTGTGTCGGAGGTAAAGCCAGTGTGTGTGTGTGTGTGTGTGTGTGTGTGTGTGTGTGTGTGTGTGTGTGTACCCTGTCCAATTGAATCAGCCTGGAGGCTCCTCTTTGGTATTAGTGCGACTGTAAGAACCCTCAGGTGTGTGTGTGGTCCGTTGCTGCTGCCGTGCGGACGGGGCCTGGTCTCTGAGTCGAGCTTTTCGCAGGTTTTTAGTACAAGTAGAAAAAGGTAAACCAAACAGTAGAGTCGCTGTGATGGAGGCAATGTTATGCATCACATTAAGACATTTTCTTGAACATTTTGTTGAGGAATGTTTCTGAAAAAGGAATGCAATGCTGTATTCAGACTGGTACATCGTAAAAAAGCTTTGAAATTAGTAATTAAATAACCCTCTACTATTTATACATTCAGGCACTGAAAAATCACATGTCAATATGTAACTAAAAAAGATAGTCGCTCTCTTTTCCTTGGTAAGAACAAGGAAGCTGAACCCTTGAAGTTGGCAATTGCGTAAATTCCTACCCAGTAGTAATGCCATGTGCAGGCTCCGCCCTCTCAGTGCATGGACCTAGGATGGTACTGTCCTCCAGAGGGCGCTGTGAGCCCACTGCTTGGGCCTGGCCTTAAGGACTCTCCGGTGACAGCCAGCTCAGCACTGACTCAGTCACGTAACTATACAAGGGCTTTTACAAAAAAGCTAACTTGAACAGCCATACAATGGCTAAAACATAAACCATACTCTACTTGATCTGGGTTTGTCCGTCACGTGGACTTCTCTTTTAGATGCATGTGTTTCTCAGTTTGTGGAGCAGCTCGTGCTGAGGGTCAGTCAGAGGTTGGGGGTTTGATGCCGGAGGTTTAGTCCATGGTTCTACATGGAATGTGCACAGAGTGTCGGGCTATCCGCTGTCGGAGGAGGTGTGTGGGGCTGTGGATGGAGAGCGCCTCCTGCGGGTGGAAGTCCAGGAGCGCTCAGAACGCTCAGAGCGCTCTGACCCCAGAGACGCCGGTCTGAAGCGGTGCATGAAGCCGTCCAGGAAGTCCTGCTGCTGCTGGGATATGGCTTGTGAGATGAGGCAGGGCAGGGCCTGCAGGCTGCCCGTCACAGAGTCCAGTTTGTCCTCCAGAGTCCCAATGCGCTTGTCCAGCTCCTCACTGCGCTCCTGCAGCTCGGACACCAGGTCGTACATCACATTCTGAGTCTGCGCACAGAGAGGGGCAGTTAGGGGCAGTTTGAACACACACAACCAGATGGAACAGCAACACACACACACAACAACTGGAGAGAGGTCATACAACTGACAAGTGTGTCATGGTTTGGGCTTTTCTCCTGTTCTTTGGGTTCCACTGTCTCCTGTCGACAGTTTGCCTGATGTCTTACACCTGTGTGTCCCTGTGCTTAGACCCTGTGCTTCTGTCCTCTTGTTGTTGGTCCATTGTTGGTTTTTCTCTCCTGTCTCTGGTTTCAGTTTTTACTCATTAATTTATTTTCTTGTAACTAAATTATATCATTTTGAAGTTCTGCTTTTGGTCCTTCCTGGTTCTCGTGACAGTCCGAGCTGCACCTGTTGCAGTGATAAAGACGCTCCTCCAACCTCCGTCTTTACCTGATCCAACACAGACTTGTCCTTTGTCCATTTGCACTATTCCTTCCAGATTCTGGGCAAACATCATTTTCCCGGTGCAGTGTTGGTGTTTTGGCCCAGAGTCTGCAGTAAGTCAAACCAGAGTCCCGGCTAAAAGCGGCGAGCATAATAAAGTAGATGATTTGAAACGGCGGGTGATAAAACTGTCGCATATAGAGCTAATGCTTTGTAACGTACATTGTCTGGCTCCGGCCGTAACTCTGCTGGTCTGGCCACTTTAGCGAATCAGCACAGATTTTATCAGCCGTTTAACAACCGCCATCCATTTATAGCGAGCGGCTCTTTGTGCGGCTCACTCACGTAATGAAAAGATTCTATTATTTAGCTGCGTTTAGCTCCGTGTGCTGCGTGTGTCAGGGCCGGCGCTGGAGCCACGGTGACTGGGTACGACGCATGGGGAGCCCTGCATCTGCATTCAGAGAGAGAGACCGAGAGAAAGAGAGAGCTATGCATTTAGAGAGAAAGAGGCCGAGACAGAGAGAGACCTATACATTCGGAGAGAGAGATTGAGACAGAGAGACCATGTGTATTCTGAGAGAGAGAGACTGAGACAGAGAGAGACCATCTGCATTCAGAGAGAGAGACCGAGAGAAAGAGAGAGCTATGAATTTAGAGAGAAAGAGAGAGCTATGCATTTAGAGAGAAAGAGACCGAGACAGAGAGAGAGCGAGATAGAGAGAGCTATGAATTTAGAGAGAAAGAGAGAGCTATGCATTTAGAGAGAAAGAGACCGAGACAGAGAGAGAGCGAGATAGAGAGAGACTGTGCATTCAGAGCGAGACAGAGAGAGACCATTTGCATAAAGAGAGAGACAGAGAGAGACCATTTGCATAAAGAGAGAGACAGAGAGAGACCATTTGCATAAAGAGAGAGACTGAGACAGAGAGAGACCATTTGCATAAAGAGAGAGACCGAGACAGAGAGAAACCATTTGCATAAAGAGAGAGACCGAGACAGAGAGAGACCATTTGCATACAGAGAGAGACCGAGAAAGAGAGAGCGAGACAGAGAGAGACCATATGCATAAAGAGAGAGACCGAGACAGAGAGAGCGAGACAGAGAGAGGCCATTTGCATAAAGAGAGAGACTGAGACAGAGAGAGACCATATGCATAAAGAGAGAGACCGAGACAGAGAGAGAGCGAGACAGAGAGAGACCATATGCATAAAGAGAGAGACCGAGACAGAGAGAGAGACCGAGACAGAGAGAGACCATATGCATAAAGAGAGAGACAGAGAGAGAAACGGCTATATGCATAAAGAGAGAGACCGAGACCAAGAGAGAGCGAGACAGAGAGAGACCATATGCATAAAGAGAGAGACCGAGACAGAGAGAGAGCGAGACAGAGAGAGACCATATGCATAAAGAGAGAGACCGAGACAGAGAGAGAGCGAGACAGAGAGAGACTATATGCATAAAGAGAGAGAGCGAGACAGAGAGAGACCCTTTGCATAAAGTGAGAGACTGAGACAGAGAGAGACCATTTGCATAAAGAGAGAGACTGAGACAGAGAGAGACCATATGTATAAAGAGAGAGACCGAGACAGAGAGAGACCATATGCATAAAGAGAGAGACAGAGAGAGACCATATGCATAAAGAGAGAGACAGAGACAGAGAGAGACTATATGCATAAAGAGAGAGACAGAGAGAGACTATATGCATAAAGAGAGAGACAGCGAGACAGAGAGAGACCATATGCATAAAGAGAGAGAGAGAGAGACAGAGAGAGACCATATGTATAAAGAGAGAGAGCGAGACAGAGAGAGAGCGAGACAGAGAGAGACCATATGCATAAAGAGAGAGACCGAGACAGAGAGAGAGCGAGACAGAGAGAGACTATATGCATAAAGAGAGAGTGCGAGACAGAGAGAGAGCGAGACAGAGAGAGACCCTTTGCATAAAGTGAGAGACTGAGACAGAGAGAGACCATTTGCATAAAGAGAGACCGAGACAGAGAGAGACCATATGTATAAAGAGAGAGACCGAGACAGAGAGAGACCATATGTATAAAGAGAGAGACCGAGACAGAGAGAGACCATATGCATAAAGAGAGAGACAGAGAGAGACCATTTGCATACAGAGAGAGACAGAGAGAGAGCGAGACAGAGAGAGACCATATGCATAAAGAGAGAGAGAGAGAGAGACCATATGTATAAAGAGAGAGAGCGAGACAGAGAGAGAGCGAGACAGAGAGAGACCATATGCATAAAGAGAGAGACCGAGACAGAGAGAGAGCGAGACAGAGAGAGACTATATGCATAAAGAGAGAGACAGAGAGAGAGCGAGACAGAGAGAGACCATATGCATAAAGAGAGAGAGAGAGACCATATGTATAAAGAGAGAGAGCGAGACAGAGAGAGAGCGAGACAGAGAGAGACCATATGCATAAAGAGAGAGACCGAGACAGAGAGAGAGCGAGACAGAGAGAGACTATATGCATAAAGAGAGAGTGCGAGACAGAGAGAGAGCGAGACAGAGAGAGACCCTTTGCATAAAGTGAGAGACTGAGACAGAGAGAGACCATTTGCATAAAGAGAGAGACCGAGACAGAGAGAGACCATATGTATAAAGAGAGAGACAGAGAGAGAGCGAGACAGAGAGAGACCATATGCATAAAGAGAGAGAGAGAGAGAGACCATATGTATAAAGAGAGAGAGCGAGACAGAGAGAGAGCGAGACAGAGAGAGACCATATGCATAAAGAGAGAGAGCGAGACAGAGAGAGACTATATGCATAAAGAGAGAGAGCGAGACAGAGAGAGAGCGAGACAGAGAGAGACCCTTTGCATAAAGTGAGAGACTGAGACAGAGAGAGACCATATGTATAAAGAGAGAGACCGAGACAGAGAGAGACCATATGCATAAAGAGAGAGACAGAGAGAGACCATATGCATAAAGAGAGAGACAGAGAGAGAGCGAGACAGACAGAGACTATATGCATTCAGAGAGAGAGACAGAGAGAGAGAGACAGAGAGAGAGAGAGAGAGAGACAGAGAGAGAGAGAGACAGAGACAGAGAGAGAGAGAGAGACCTGTGTGTGTATCAGGAGAGAGACCTTTGCATTCAGAGACAGACAGATACTGCAGCTGATTGTAAAGTCAGAGATTCTTTCCATAAGAGCTGTTTGTTCTTTTGTTCAAATATAGAAAAAATGACGCTTGTGGCAAACGGGTCACGTGTCTGAACCGACGGTCAGAGAGCGAGAGGAGACGTCCCTCTGAGTTCTGACCCGTTCTGACCTCCTCCAACTGGAACACCGCCTGTAGGACTTCTCTTTTCAAGGTCATACCATTACTTGCTCTTGCTGCAATGCTAACGCTATGTGGCTACTGAGACAGCTGGGGTAGTTATAGGTTAAGATTAAGATAAAGCGGAGGAATTTGTCCCACAGTGAGGAAATTTCAGTGTTGTATCACCGGCACCAGAACAGTGGGACTGAGGAGCACACAGAACAAGATAAAATGACCTATATTGCTATATTAAAGTAATATAAAATCTCTAACTTTAGCATAATAAAGAAGCTAGTCTAAAATCTCTAGCTTTAGCATAATAAAGAAGCTAGTCTAAAATCTCTATCTTTAGCATAATAAAGAAGCTAGTCTAAAATCTCTAGCTTTAGCATAATAAAGAAGCTAGTCTAAAATCTCTATCTTTAGCATGATAAAGAAGCTAGTCTAAAATCTCTAGCTTTAGCATAATAAAGAAGCTAGTCTAAAATCTCTATCTTTAGCATAATAAAGAAGCTAGTCTAAAATCTCTATCTTTAGCATGATAAAGAAGCTAGTCTAAAATCTCTAGCTTTAGCATAATAAAGAAGCTAGTCTAAAATCTCTAGCTTTAGCATGATAAAGAAGCTAGTCTAAAATCTCTAGCTTTAGCATAATAAAGAAGCTAGTCTAAAATCTCTATCTTTAGCATAATAAAGAAGCTAGTCTAAAATCTCTAGCTTTAGCATAATAAAGAAGCTAGTCTAAAATCTCTAGCTTTAGCATAATAAAGAAGCTAGTCTAAAATCTCTAACTTTAGCATAATAAAGAAGCTAGTCTAAAATCTCTATCTTTAGCATAATAAAGAAGCTAGTCTAAAATCTCTAGCTTTAGCATAATAAAGAAGCTAGTCTAAAATCTCTAGCTTTAGCATAATAAAGAAGCTAGTCTAAAATCTCTAACTTTAGCATAATAAAGAAGCTAGTCTAAAATCTCTATCTTTAGCATGATAAAGAAGCTAGTCTAAAATCTCTAGCTTTAGTATAACAAAGGTTTTGTTGCCGGGAGAAGCCGAAGTCACAGACTTGCGGCGCCTTTCATCAGTCTGTCCCAGGGCTGACACGGCTACAATACAATTTTACCCCCGAGTGTGGCGTAAATAGGACGGTAAGTTGACACCTACTGCATTTGCCATTTGCAGTAAAACCACATTGGAATAATTGTAATATTCTAAGCTCGTTAAGGGCTGGAATAAGAAAAAAGTATATATAAAAGACAAATGCTAACGGCTACAGAAACAACACTATAGTTCCATCGATCATCAAATGAGTCTGGAAG